TTAGTTTCACCTTTTAAGTTGCATTACTGAAATAAATCAACCTTTGCACGATATTCTAATTTTTTGAGTTTCACCTGTATATAAGCGTGTCTAGCTGTGAATGGTCACAGTGATCACATGCACGGGCTGGGCCAATCACAGCCCATCTGTGTCATGTGATTAGCCGTGGCCAATCACAGCTAATCACAACAAAAAAACCTGAATGAATCGATTTCATTCAGTTAAATGCTTGTTTATAGCAAAGAAATGATTTTCTATAAGCAATCAAATTGTGTAAAAAAAAAAAAAAAAAACACCTGATCGCTTCCCCAAAGTAGTGCAATGTTACTATGGTAACATTATATTACTTTGGGCGTAGTGTAATATGAAAAAAAAAACTTAAAAAAAGAGAACACTATAATTAAAAAAAACTAAATTGAAAAAAAATTATAATTTTTTTTTTTTCGTACTGTCACCAGTCTGTTTCCCTGATCACCACCACACCAGTTATATGATGACGCTGTACTGCAGTGGTGACATTATGTAAAAAAAAATTGTGAAAATTATTTTTTTTAATTTCTTAATTTTCCAGAAAATTATGACAAAAAAATGACAACTTCAAAAACCTGCCATGCCTCTTATGAAATAAGTCGGACTGTCTACTTTGCAAAAAGGGGACATTTGGGGGATATCTGTACTCTTCTGACATTTTTGGGTCTCAAGAAATTAGATTGGCTATCAGTACTTCAGGATTGATCAATTTTCAGATATATCCCATAGTTTGTGAACTCTATAACTTTCCTACAAACTAAATAATAAACACTGATTTGGGTTATTTTCACCAAAGACATGTAGCAGAATACATCTTGGCCTACATTTATGAAGAACAATTATTTATTTGCAAACTTTTATAGCAGAAACAAAGAAAAACTTGGGGTTTTTTTTTCACATGTTTCGGGGGTTTTTTTTTGTTAATTTTAGAAATAAATAAAACCCCCAGGTGGTGATTAAATACCACCAAAAGAAAGCTCTAGTTGTGTGAACAAAACTATAAAAATTTAGTTTGGGTACAGTGTAGCATGACCGCGCAATTGTCATTCAAGTGTGAGAGCACTGAAACCTGAAAATATGCCTGGGCAGGAAGGGGTAAAAGTGCCCGGTATTGAAGTGGTAAAGCAGACCTAAACTATAATGAAAAATGATATTTAAGTGTTCTGGGTGGGTGATTCTACAGTAGTTTCAGCTTAGCAGAGGGAATATTATAGCATTGCATATCAGGGGCAGACTGACCATTTGGAAACACGGGCACTGCCCATGAGGTGCCCCTGGCACCTTTTTCATAGGCTTTTTTGAGTTTGGGCAAGGACACAGGGGCCCCATGATCCCCTATTGCCCAGGGGCCCCATGAGTTGTCAGTCCACCCCTGATGCATATTTATTATAAACTGATTTGGAAACTAAAATTTTAGCTCTAGTTCACAGCACCAGCCATTGTTCATACAAATTATTGCTATTTGCAAAACATGCTAGGATTCCTGCATATTTTCTTGTACAGCATCAGTGTGCCTACCTTTTCACCAAGGTCATGAAGTCAAGGCTTCAGTAGCTGAGTAGGCGTAGATATGGCTTATAGCATACAGTACATTACCTTACAAATGTAAAATCCTGTTGACATAACTTAGATGCTCAAAAATGTCTGAATGCATCCTAATTAGACAATTCTTATAGTGTAACCTTTGGTTTAATGTACACATAAAAGCACACACACAATCAATGAAGGAGGTGGTCTTAAAGTGTACTGTATGTATAGCCAAAAGCTGATTTTTCTAGTTTTGGATAGAGTAGGGAAGGTTTTTTTCTTCTGTTTATGTCCAGTGGGAGAACTTTCCTTTTACCTCCTGTCTCAGAAAAACAATAAAAAGTGAGAGAAAACTCTAGAAATGAAGTAAAATTACCCTCTTAGACAATTTTCACCAGAACAAGTCTCCCTATTGGAAGATTTATATTGTATTCCAGTTCTGGTGACCCCTATAAAATGTTGGATTTCCCATCACTCTTCTTTTATGATGACTGTGATCACTAGGTCAAACACTGGAGTAAACCCCCTTCGCTGGGAAATGCGGGACTTTGAGGCAACAGCAGCAAAAACCTTACGATAACTATCTTACAGGCATGGCCAAAATTATTGGCACCACTGCATTTCTGTCAGATAATGCACCACTTTGCCCAGAAAAGTATTGCAATTACAAATGGTTAGGCATTCTCTTGTTTATTTCTTTTGTTTGTATTGGTATGACACAAAGAAAAAAAAATGGAGAAACAAAAACCCGAATCCGATACATTCCACGCAAAACCCCAAAAATGGACTGGACAAAATGTATGGCACCTTCTCAAAATGGTCAGAAATAATTGCCTTACAAGTTTGCAGTGCGCCTGTAATTTGTACTTAAAGCCACCTGTATCAATTAACAAGTGCTGACAATATAGAAATCTCACTGGCAACCAGTTAAAATGGTGAAAAATTGACTCAACATTTATGTTGTGTGTCTCTGTGTGCCACATGGAGCATGGAGAAGAGAAAGATCAGCAAAGAATTGTCTGATGATTTAAGAACAAAAATTGTGGAAAAGCATGGACAATCTCAAGGTTACAAGTCCATCTCCAGATATCTTAATGTTCCTGTGTCCACTGTGCGCAACATTGTCAAGAAGTTTACAGACCACGGCACTGTAGCTAATCTCCCTGGACGTGGATGAAAAAGTAAAATTGATCAAAGATTGCAATGAATGATTTTTCAGACAAATTTAAGCTGACCTTAAGGCACAGGGTACAACTGTGTCAGTTTACGCTATACGTCACCATTTGAATGAAAAGGGACGGTATTGTAGGAAACCCAGGAGGACCCCACTGCTGACACATACATAAAAAAGCCAGACTGGAGTTTGTTAAACCTTACCTTTTGGGAGAATGTGCTATGGACAGACGAACAAAAGTACAGCTTTTTGGGAAAGCCCACCATTCTACAGTTTTCAGAAACAGAAATGAGGCCTTTAAAGAAAAGAATATAGTCCCTACAGTCAAACATGGTGGAGGTTCACTGATGTTTTGGGATTGTTTTGCTGCTCCAGGCACTGGATGTCTTAACCATGTACGTGGCATTATGAAATCTGAAGACTACCAAATAATTCTGGGGTGCAACGTAGGACCCAGTGTCAAAAAGTTGAGTCTCCATCAAAGGCCATGTGTCTTACAGCCGGACAATGACCCAAACCACATGTCAAAAATTTCCCAAATGGTTTCAGTCTGGAGAGTACTGGACTGGCCACCAATGAATGCGGATCTCAATCACACAGAGCATCTATGGAGAGATCTCAAAATAGTAGTTGGGAAAAGGAACCCTTCTAATTTGGGAGACCTGGAGCAGTTGGCAAACGAAGAGTGGTCCGAAATTCCAGTAGAGAGGTGTAAGAAACTCATTGATGGTTACAGGAAGTGATTGAGTTCAGTTATTTTTTCCAAGGGATGTGCTACCATATATTAAATTGAAGGTGCCATTAATTTTGTCCAGTCCATTTTTGGGCGTTTTGCATGGAATCTGTCAGACTGACTTTTTGTTTCTTCAGTTTTTTGTGTTATACCAATACAAACAAAATAAATAAACATAAGAATACCTAAACATTTGTAATTGTAACAATTTCTGGGCAAAGTGGTGCATTATATGACAGAAATGCAGGGCTGTCAATATTTTTGGCCATGACTGTATGTAAATTGTTTTTAGATAAATTTGTCCCATTTATTCTTAACTGTGCAATGTTTCTTCGCATTTAAGGTTAAATCCCAACTTTGGGTTTCTAGTATCCTCCTTTCTCTTCCTTTTCTCTAATATACTTTGGATACTTATGAGGTTATGTTGCCTCTTAAAATGTAAAAAAACAAAAATGAATGACAGTCATGTGTTTCATGTACATTACACATTATATGTATATTGCCTTGACCGCAGTGGCGTCCTGAAGCAGGTGCAGGGGGTGCGGCCCACACCTGGTGACACTACCCCACAGGGTGACACCGGATCCACTCCACAAAAAGGTAAGTTGTAAAGCAAGGTGACGATCCCCACAGGATGGATCTGATCCATCCTGTGGGGATTGTTGGCTTTCTTTGCAACTTACCTTTTTGTGGAGTGGGTCTGGTGTCACCCCGTATAGGTTGCATGACGACAATCCCCGCAGGATGGATCGGATCTGCGGATTGGGGAGCATAATGGATCGGACTCCGATCCATTATGCTCAATCCGCAGATCCAATCCATCCTGCTGCAAATTGTCCTGCGGGTGTCATCGGCATGCAACCTATACGGGGTGACACCAACCCAGGGACCCCCTGATGTGAAACCGATGATTTGGATGGATCGGATCTGCGGATTGGGGAGCATAATGGATCGGAGTCTGATCCATTATGCTCAATCCGCAGATCCAATCCATTCTGCAGGGATTGTCGGAGGGGTGTCATCAAGTGTTATTGCACCGGGTGACACCAACCCTAGGGACGCCCCTGCTTGACCAATTATTTGGATTGTTGTTTTGGATTGTCATTATTCTCTCAGATATCATAGGTCCTCTCCTTCTCCTCCAGTGGTTGTAATGGGCTGTCGTTACTCCTGGACAGCATGTTGCTCCTGTAAAAAATGGTGGAGCATTGTTTTGAACAGGAGTACTGTAAACCCAGGCCAGTGTAATTAAGTGCCCCCATGGAGTGTGTCCTTGACAGCCTGGGTGCACATTGAGTGGGTTGGATGAAGTTGGGGATCATTCATTCCAGAAGAGGACTGACATTCAATCACAGACCAGGATCAGAAAGGAGGTGAATATTGCAGCAAAAGCTGTTTTTTTTAATTTTTACATTGCTGGTCAACCTATTTTATTAAACCTTTGTGAAAAGTGCAGTTATGATTCAAGGTGAACTGTGCCTGCTACTGAGAAGTTGCAAACTGTTTTGTAGCTGTGTCCGTTTTGTAACCATGCTGTACCTTTTTGTGTATTTATCTTAGGGGATGGCAGTATCAGATTGGTCAGTGGAGCCGACTCCTGTCAAGGAAGAGTAGAAGTCTTTTATAAGGGAAACTGGGGAACAGTGTGCGATGATGACTGGGGAATGAAGGATGCAATGGTTGTCTGTAAACAGATAAACTGTGGACAAGCCCTGGACTATAAAAGCAATGCTTATTTTGGATATGGAACTGGATTAATATTACTGGATAATGTGAACTGTGATGGCTCAGAAACCTATCTATCAGCTTGCTACAGTCTCGGCTGGGGAATTCACAACTGTGGCCATCATGAAGATGCTGGAATCATCTGTGCTGGTAAACTACAGTACTGCTCACATGCTAGTGATTTCTGATATGCTATTTCTGGAAGCCACCATGATGTGCTGCAATTAGTACACAATGTCAACTTCATTTCATTCTCTCTCCATCATGTATACATTGATCTAACTGGTACTGAAGAATCACATTGAAGAGTAAGATAGAGATGGGCACATCACACGTCACCCGAGGGCATTTCTTCTAACAGGGAAGTGATTAAGGCTGTGCAGACTTTTAAGTGGAAGTTATTTGCCTGATGTAATACACAAGTGCACTAAGATAATTAGCTTTTATCGGAAGTGGATATCCCCATCCTCATAATGCTTATAGAAAGTTGACTTTGTACAAAACACTTACATTTTAATATTTTATGATATTATGCTTAGTTATTTCAGTGAGTAACAACACTGAATCATGAGTGTCGCTAAAAGGCACTTAGATGTTCACCACAAAACCCTTGTTGTGTTGCCTCAGTCCATGTCAGTGTGCCCTAAATTAAAGGAGTTTGTTTTTTTTTAAAGTGGAACCGCCATTAAAATTTACACTAGATGAACAAATAGCTTAAGGGGACTGTAGACACATTTATGGGTAAACCAAACATTCTCTGTGCCTTATGGAGCCACCGAATGCAAGCACAACGTGTTCATTGGCATCAACTCAAATTCAGGAATTGGTGCTCTGGTACTCCTCCTTCAGCACCCTATTATGCAATGGCCAATAAAGAATCTACATTCGACTTTGAGATGGTGGATGGCAGGAGGATGCCATTTAGTGGCTTTTTAAATTGGAGAAATCCTTTAGCTACTAGACGGCAACCTACATCAGCACATCATCTACTATTTCTATTTTTATTCAGGGCTTGGAGTTTCAACAACACCCCCAAACGTCACTCCTGTAGCTCAAGATACTGCAGAGTCAGTTACTGACACAGCAACAGGTAAAACACAACCCACTTTCCACTTGATACCCCAAAACAGTAATGAACAGCACTCAACTTATCATTTGTGTTTTCTTTTTCATTTATAGTTACATGGGGTGAACGTCAAGCTTCTCCTGAGACAGATATATTTACAACTGCATTTTTCCATCCTGGAAGAAAGAGTAAGTTGCTTTAAGTAAAAAAAGTAAAATCTACCATCTGTTCCCTTTCCTCTTAACAAATATCAACCTGATTTCAAATACCAGGAATGTAATCAACGTTGTCTTGCTGTAGCACTGATCCTGTTACATTATAAGACCAACATATTGATCTTTTGTAGATGGAAAGCCTTATATGAAGGATTTCCCCATAATGCGTAAACCATTGTATATTGGCACTGGTAAAGCTCCAAAATGTATTATTTTTTTTAATTGTTTGGATGGAGTGAGGCAAGGTTTGATCCCCCAAAGAGTTTTATCTTCTGCCTGTTAACCTCTTAAAGCAATATTTAACCTAAAACCAAAAAAGCAATATATTGCAGCTTACCAATCATTAGATGTGATGGCTGCAATCGTTTTCTTTTCTTAGGCTTTCCCCCTCTCTTTTCACCTGGTGATCTGGCCAGTAAAACATCTCCTGTATTAGTGAGACACAACTCTGAATAAATAAGCACCAGAGGCATGGCAGACAGCAGCATTGCCAGTCTAGGGGGAGGATGTTAAATGTATTAGCAGATTTAAAGGCACTAACTAGTTGAAGCCAAACTCTAGCTAACACTTATTTCACTATATTCAGTTAGCGCAAACAGTTTTTTTTTATCCATTTAAGATAAAGGTTTTACGTGAATAAATAAAAGTTGATAATTTTTACCACATCTGCCAGTATTAAATGGTTTGTCTCATCCATGTAAACTGATACATTCTGCTGGAGAGCTCAAGCTTTTGAAAAACAACAGGCATGCTGGCTGGATCACCAGATGAAAATCCAGGGGAAAAAAAGCCTAAAAAAGAAAGCTAATACAGCCATCACATCTAAGAATTGGTAAGCTGCAATATAATAAATGTTTGCTTTTGGGTTTAATACCACTTTAAGGATATGCTATTCCCTAGGTTTCTATGCAGTACACTATATATTCTGATGGAAAACCTACTAGTGGAGTAGGTATATCAACATTATGTTGTCTCTTCCACTTTTGCGGATTCCTAATTAAATCTAAATTAAATCTGAGCGTCAAAGGATTTGCAATTTGTAAATTTTAGTCTGCTTTTCCTTGTTTATCATGAATACTTACTGGATCTGCTCACTGCTCATTTGAGACAACCCGGAAAAGGAAGGTAACATAGTAAGCTGTGTTGATGAACCAGAAGATAATTGTGTTAACTTCCTGGCTGTGGAGTGCGAGCTAGGTATATAAACCACAAGACTGGTCATCCAGAATTATAAATCCTTTGGCTTTAGAGGACAAGTAGCCCTGTCTCAAATAGTTACATAGTAGTCAAGTTGGTAAAAGGCACAAGTGCAAGATAATATAAGAAATAATTATAAGATTTTGCAAGATAAAAAGAATATTTGGGCTTTCTTTAATCTCATTTTTGAAAATGCTAGTCCCTTGGCTATCATTCTAACATTCTGGCTTCAATACTTTCTAAGTTACTGACCCAAGTATGCAAATCAGGGTATTTGACTTCCATTGCTGCTGCATGGCACTGTCACTTCAGTAAGCATTGAAGCAGAGACAGCAAAATAAGTAGCATTTTCAGAGGTAAACAATGTAAGGTTCTGCACTTGGGGGCTAAGAATATGCATGCATCATACATACTAGGGGGAGTACAACTGGGGAATCAATGGTGGAGAAGGATCTGAGAGTTCTGGTACATCACAATCTTAATAATGGCATGCAATGCCAAGCTGCAGTTTCTAAAGCAAGCAAATCCTCTCTTGTATTAAAAGAGGTATAGACTCCAGAGAGAGAGATATATTACCCCTGTACAAATCATTAGTAACACCTCATCTGGAATATGCAGTTCAGTTTTGGGCACCAATTCATAAAAAGAACATTGGGGAACTGGAGAAAGTACAGAGAAGGGCAACCAAACTGATGCGAGGCATGGAGGAGATCAGCTATGAGGAAAGATTAGAGGAACTGAATTTATTCTCTCTTGAGAAGAGGATATTAAGGGGGGATATGATCAACATATATAAATACATCAGTGGTTCATATAGTGAACTCGGTGTAGAGCTATTCACCCTGAGGTCATCACAGAGGACAAGGGGCACTCTTTACGTCTGGAGGAAAATAAATTTAATCTCCAAATATGGAAAGGTTTCTTCACAGTGAGAGCTGTGAATATGTGGAATAGACTCCCTCAAGAGTTGGTTCTGGCCAGCTCAGTGGATTGCTTCAAAATAGGCCTGGATTCTTTCTTGGTTACACAGAATATAACTGGATACTAACATTTATAGGTAAAGTTGATCCAGGGAATATCTGATTGCCTCTCAGAGGATCAGGAAGGAATTTTTTCCCCTGCAGGAGCAAATTGGATCATGCTTTACTGGTTTTTTTTGCCTTCCTCTGGATCAACTGTGGATGTAGGATTATAACTTTTTTTTTATGGTTGAACTAGATGGACTTTTGTCTTTTTTCAGCCAGACTAACTATGTAACTATGGTAGCCTACATGCTTCTTTCATGTCAGGTTTCCTGCCAATTAGCCATGACCACTGCATGATACAAAGTTAAGCAGTCTTCATTTAAAGGGGTACACTTCTGTATGCCCCTATGTTGGTTTTATAATGATATTAAATTGTCCATTAGCTAATACAGAAACTGTTATAATAAGAGCATCCATTCAAAACAATAAGGAAAAATAATAATTAAAATACAACGGCATTTCAGAAAAGCAGAGCTCGATATGCATGCATCACATGTCTGTGGCTACATGAGAAACGGCAATATATTTAATATTGCCCAGTAGAAGATATTTTTTTTTATCTTTCACTATTTCAATGCAAGTATGTAATTCACCTGTTATGGTAATATCTTTCCACCAGGTGGCAGTATAAGACTGGTAAATGGAAACAGCAGTTGCCAAGGAAGAGTGGAAGTTCTCTACCAGAACACTTGGGGCACTGTGTGTGATGATGACTGGGATTACAACAATGCACAGGTGGTTTGCAAGCAGATGGGCTGTGGTCCAGCCATTGTAGCTACAACCCTTAGTTATTTTGGCTATGGCAGTGGACCTATACTGCTAGACAACGTAGACTGTGTTGGAACAGAGAAAGATATAGTGGACTGCTTTCACTTAGGCTGGGGCCAGCATAACTGTGGACATCATGAAGATGCTGGGGTTATATGTCAAGGTAAATATATTTGTGAAACACAAAGAAGAATATCTTACTTAACTGGTGAAGAAAGAAACATGATTTGATTTTAAACACAAATGACATATGGACTTTCTTTTTTTAGCCTTTTGCTTTAGCCATGCCATAACTGACCCTAATGTTCCCATTGGTATTTCCTCTTTTCTTTATTGATGCTTTTCATTAGGATATTTCGATATCTGTATGAGATATAATGTACAATGTGATTTATTTTTTAACTGAAAATTGCAGAATTTTCTGTGCAGGACTGATGAGTCCATATAGCAAAGCTTTGAAGGCTAAGCTCACTTTTGAAAAAAAAAAATAATAAGTGTACACTTTTTGCAGGTACAAAAAATGTGCATTTATTCATTTCTAAGGAGCCTGCAGAGCATTGCACCCACAAGCAGCAGAATGTAGGTGCAATCTCAGACTCTTGCAGACTCTCAGGATAGCTGTCTGCCTGTATCTTATATGGGCACGCACAGGGGCGGAACTGACCATTTGGAAACTTGGGCACTGCCTGAGGGCCCGGGGTCAGTAGGGGGCCCCATGAGATGCCCCTGGTACCTTTTTCATAGGTTTTTTTGAGTTTGGGCAAGGACACGGGCCCCATGAACCCCTTTTGCCTGAGGGCCCCATGAGTTGTCAGTCTGCCCTTGGGCACACAGTTACTTGAGAGCAGGAAGGTCAATGAATTGCAAGAACGCTTACCAAGACATCAGCAGTGGTGGATGATGGTAATTGTACTCTATTCATTCACAGGGAACTGTGAAGAAATGACGTGGCCATGTGGGCAGAGCCCCATACGGCCATGCTATTTTCAAGAATAGCCCGCTACAGGGGCGGACTGACAACTCATGGGGCCCCCGGACAATAGGGAATCATGGGGCCCCTGTGTCCTTGCCCAAACTCAAAAGAGCCTATGAAAAATGTACCAGGGGCATCTCATGGGGCCCCCTACTGACCCCGGGCCCTCGGGCAGTGCCCGAGTTTCCAAATGGTCCAAATGGTCCAAATGGCCCGCTATCACAGGGAGGTGGGAATTGGAAGGGGAAGGTGCAGATGCTGGAACATGTTGCATGTTCCAACCAAAAACGGGTGGAACATATAACATGTTGCAAAGATGAACATATTGTTTAAAGAGACACTATTACCTAGCCTATGCAGGGTGATGGTGTCTTTGAAAAGCTCCCTCCCCCTGTCAAACTACCTATATTCAACTGACACTAATATCCTTAGTGTAAACTTAGTGCAGATACTACGGAGAGTACGCAGTGATATCACTTCCCTGGTCATATGACAATGCCTGGGTATAGTAATTGACTGCTAGATCCAAAAAATATCACAGAGAAGGAAGCCTAGTATCTCCCATACCTGAAAGTACTGGGTATTGCCACTGTGTGCACCTGAGGAGGGAGGAGCTGAGAAGCACTGGTAAAGTATAACTGGGTCCGTGGGAGGGACCCTTTTGAAAGATACTGTCACTTTGTTCTACGTGGGCAAAGTGACAGTGGCACCTTAAGATTGGGTGTAAGGCTTGGTTCACATCTGTGCAGGTGGTGCCGCTGCGGATCCGCATGAAATTCCGTGCAGCCGCACCACCCGCACAGAGGAATGCAGACCCACGGGCGGGTGCTAATAGTTCTAATGGCACGCCGCCTGCACTGGTAAAGGCAACCGTACTGGGAACTAAGGTTCCCGTCCGGGCTGTGGTTTCCAAAGAACTTCAGGGATTTTTTCCATGTGTGTCACGGGGCACGGGAGTTCATTCAAATGAATGGGCTCTCATGCTCGCGGAAAACAGAGCCTGCACGGCTGCATATATGTGAACCGGGGCTTAGTGATTGGGTTTACATATACTTTAATCGGGGGAATTTGCTAAAACTGGAGTAGACAGAATCTGCAGGAGCTGTGCATAGTAACCAATCAGCTTCTAACTTCACTTTGTTCAGTTAATCTTTTAAAATGAAATCTAGAACCTAATGGTTGCCATGCACAGCTGCTCCAAATTCTGTCTGCTCCAGACTTACTAAATTGTCCTTTAAGTCTATGAACAGCTTTAAGATTCCAGAGATTCACTGTTAACATCTCTTTGACCATGGTAATCATGAAACCTTTAGGTACCTTTTGCTTTATTGATGCATTGTTTGCCTGATGCATTTTCAATTGAAATGAATGTAAATGCATCAAAACACATGTATACGTGCATTGAAATGCATTGCTGTGCATTTAAACACAAATTGCAGTGCACTCTACATTGCATGTCAATTCATATCATAATCAGGGCCAGTGCTAGACTATTTTGCGCCCTAGGCAAGACCAACTATGTGCACCTCCCCTCTCCTCTCCGGTAGGTATATTATGAGTATCCTTCTCTCCTCTCCTCTATTATGAGCATCCCTCTCCCCCTCCTCTATTATGAGTATCCTCTCTCTCCTCTCCTCTATTATGAGCATCCCTCTCCCCCTCCTCTATTATGAGCATCCCTCTCCCCCTCCTCTATTATGAGCATCCCTCTCCCCCTCCTCTATTATGAGTATCCTTCTCTCCTCTCCTCTATTATGAGCATCCCCTCTCCCCCTCCTCTATTATGAGAATCCCTCTCCCCCTCCTCTATTATGAGTATCCTTCTCTCCTCTCCTCTATTATGAGCATCCCTCTCCCCCTCCTCTATTTTGAGCATCCCTCTACCCCTCCTCTATTATGAGCATCCCTCTCCCCCTCCTCTATTATGAGCATCCCTCTCCCCCTCCTCTATTTTGAGCATCCCTCTCCCCCTCCTCTATTATGAGCATCCCTCTCCCGCTCCTCTATTTTGAGCATCCCTCTCTCCTCTCCTATGAGCATCCCTCTCTCCTCTACTCTCTTATGAGCATCCCTCTCCTCTTTTATGAGCATCTCTCTCCTCTCTTATGAGCATCCCTCTCTCCTCTCCTCTTTTATGAGCATCTCTCTCCTCTCTTATGAGCATCCCTCTTTCCTCTCCTCTTTTATGAGCATCCCTCTCTCCTCTCCTCTCTTATGAGCATCCCTCTCTCCTCTCCTCTTTAGTGAGCATCTCTATCCTCTCTTATGAGCATCCCTCTCTCCTCTCCTCTTTTGTGAGCATCTCTCTCCTCTCTTATGAGCATCCCTCTCTCCTCTCCTCTGTTATGAGCATCCCTCTCTAACCTTACCTCCCTCCAGTCTCCTGAATGCAGACTTAGTGCAGGCACACAGGGTGGTACATGGGAGGATGCAGCCTGACTTCTCTGGGGATGAGGGATGGATGCTGCCAGCAGAGTACCTGCACTGTCAGCGCCCACTGTCCTCCTCTCCTTTCCCCCTACAGTGCAGAGGCTGGGTGGACCGGTGATGCTCCTAGTGAGTGTACCGGGACTGGGGGGCTGTATGTGCCCCGGGGCTCGGTGTAGCAGCAGGCTGTGTGTGTAACTGGCTGCTGCAGGATCCGGACCATGCTCCCTTCTTCTTCTTCCCACTTCTCTGAGCCTGTCTACTTGCTGGATAGGAGCGGAGTAAGAAGCATCACAGCCGGAAGGGGGCTCCAATCTCATGGGGGCAGGGCACACAGACAGGAGGGGGGATTACATTGGGCATGCCCGGGGACTGGGAGGCTCTGTGCCTGGGGTGGGAGTGATCCCTATGCTCGGCCTTGGCACAGAGCTCTGATGGAACAGCATATGCATGCGCAGGTGATGCCATCGGCTGCAGGAACACTGAATATCTCCTAAACGGTGCATGTTTAGGAAATATTCCTTGTACCTACAGGTAAGCTTTATTAAAACCTTACCTGGAGATACAAGTGTCCAGTGGGAGTTTACTTCCACTTTAATGCATTATGACAAGCTTTCATGGTAGTTTTGATTCCAATGGAAAACACATCAGGCAAAAACTTTCACTTTTATATTTAATTTTCTAATATACAGTACACACAAATAACCTATACATACTAACATTAATATTTTTACTTTTTCTTTACATTTACTGATGAATTTAACAAGCATGCAACTTCATCTAAGATTCTAGTTTCTTTTTAAATCTGAACAGAGCTACAGTCTTATTTATAAAGGGTGTAAACACTAATGCAAGGGCGGGCACACCTATGCAAACAAGCACTGGAAATGTACTTTTTATAAAAACTGGCAATTTGTTTTCACTTTAGCCTTCCAAGTTGCAAGATTTTATTTAAAACAAAACTAATATGTCCCGATGTCACCCTTTGCATACAGAAACAAACATAATATACTTTTGTTGTTTGTTTTTAATTACTATTATTTCCAGTATTTTTCAAATATAAAATTGACAGAAAAGAAGAAGAGAGGTTCAAGAATACAATATGGACATCATGATTAACTGCTTGCCCACCGTACTATAGTAGTATTACTGCTACAGGGTGGCAGGGCTGCTCAAAATCATGTATATATACGTGATTTTCTTTTCAGGGTAGGGGCGCATGCGTGCCGCCCTACCTGCGCTGCCATTGGTGGCTATGGATGTCAATCACTGAGTCCTGGCTGGAGATTCCCCGTCGGCGCCCAGCGATCGCGGAGTAACACTGAAATTATAACACAGCACATCATGTAAAATAACACACAGCTAACCCTTTGATTGCCCCAGATGTTAACCCCTTCCTGCCCAGTGTGATTAGTATAGTGTTAATGCTTTTTATTAGCACTGATCACTGTATTAGTGTCACTGGGGATGTCAGTGGCAGTTAGTCAGTTCCCACCCAGTGTCAGAATACCCGTCGCAGTCCCACTATAAGTTGATGATTACCGCCATTACTAGTATAAAAAAAAAAAAAATTTAAATGTTTCCAGTATACAACCCACCATTTGTAGACATTTTAACTTTAATGTAAACCAAGTAATTTACATGTATTAGAAATTTTTTTTAGCAAAGACATGTAGCAGAATGCATTTTGGCCTAAAGTTATGATGAAATTTGATTTTTAAATTTTTTTTAGTGGATATGTTTTATAACAAAAAGTCTAAAAAAAATTTTTATTCAAAATTGTGGTTCTGTTTTTGTTAATAGCGCAAAAAAAAAAAAAAAACATACAGGT